ACTCTTTTGTCTTTTGTGAGCTCCTGAATAGTTTGTGGTTGCTTCCTGCGAGTGGACGGTTGGTTCTTTGCTGGGGATTTGAAATGAAAGGGTAAAAATGAGTGGATTTGAACCAGGCCTTTTCCACTGTCCGCTTAGCTTTCCTTATTTGGACTGGAATAGTACACTTGATCTTGTAATCGGTTGCCTTCACTGCAGGGCTATGCATGTTTGTGTGTTTTTTGGCAAGTTTCCGTGTTTTTCGAACGTGAGGGAATTAATGAAACTGACGATTCATCTTTGATAAATCACCCATTCAGCGAGTCCGCTTTACAGTTAACGTCTTGTGCGTAAACACTCGTCTGTACCATTGAGGAGCCTTTTTGATTTACTGAAGGCTGTGTTGTGTGGTCTGAGTACTTGTGTTAGCGCGGGACACATTAAGTGTTGCAGTTGTGAGTAACCGTGTCAGGCATGCTCTTGGCATTGCAACTATGTCCCATGTGTTTATATTTGGACTCCGGTCTCTATTCAACCTCACTTTGATGTTCCACCCTACAGAGGGAAAATATGGCAGATGGAATTTGTTGAAAATGTTAAGAGTTTTACCGTCTTTTGCTAACAAAAGTACTGGAAAGTAGGAAAGTCGCTCAGTGTTTTTTTTTACAGAAGTCTGTTTTGCACCTAGGCTACCGTTCTGAAGTTTGATGGTGGTGGTTTAATTAAAAAAATAAATAATTGTGTGTGAAATTTTAACAATTTTATTCTAGGATGCATTAAATTGATCAAAAGTGACTGTCAAGGCATTTGTAATGTTATAAAATATTCCTATTTCAAATAAATGTCATTTCCAGCATATTAGAATGATTTCTGAAGTATCTTGTGACACTAAAAGACTGAAGTAATGATGCTGAAAATTCACTGAATTAAATTGAATTTTAAATATAAAATATAATACGATAGAAAACTGTAATAATATTAGGGCTGTCAAATAATTAATAAAAGTTTAAGCATCCAAAATAAAAGTTTGTGTTTATATAATATACAGTATGTGGGTGCACTGTGTAATAATTATTATATATATATATATATATATAATGCACAAACATATATTATGTAAACACAAACTTTTATTTTGGATGCTTAAACTTATCGCGATTAATCGTTTGACAGCCCTAAATAATATTTCAAAATATACTTGTTTTTACTGTATTTTCGTCAAAAACAATTTACTTTTGTTTATTATTTTTTATTAAAATGTTTGTCTTTAACTAAAGGTCATCATAAACATCCATCGAGTCAGATGCTCTGATTCAGTGAGTAATTGATTAGACTGATGATTCAATCCAGTAATAGACAGTCCTCTTTTTGTTCTTCAAACTCTGTCTGATGTCTTTAAAAGATCTGATTCATAATAATCATTTGTTCATGAATCACACTGGCTGGGCTGTATGTTTTTGAGTGTTGTCAGCAAAGAAAATTTATGGGCTAATTATGGTCTGAATATTATTATAATTATATGTTGTGTTTATATAAACCTTTTAATTATTCCGAACTATTGTCTTTATCGCTATTATATGTAATATCACATCATTTCTTTTTCTGTGCCGCTGAATATACAACGGGTCATGCAACAAAAAATGGTTTACCAATACCATAGAGTTCCATGGAGATACCATTATGTTAATTGTTCAGTAAGTAGCATTATATATCAAAATACCACTGCTATGATATGGTACCATGATGACTAAGTGCATATTGTGTATGTGGCCTTCATATATCATCACATTTATGTCCAGTTCACCTCATTGTCACGCAGCGCCGCTGTGTGTGGCATCAGAGAGATGCAGATGAGGTGTTGTGGTGTGTGTTGGAGAAGCATGTGTTGTTGTGTGTGAGAGGAAGAGAGAGGGGCGTATTGTGCCTCGGATCCTGTGTGTGATTAAAGAGAGACCCTTTTCTGTCAGCAAGTCTTCTGTTTCCCTCCCCCACCAGCCAGCCCACCACACACACCTACACCGAGACCTTCACGCAAACACAGATTCTTCCAGGAAGAGCATTGTTAACATACCTGTTGAGAAATGTACTGGGAAAGTTATGTGTCCTCTGTCTATCGTTGCATGTAATTGCAGCCAGTGTTATTTTATGGTACGTTGTTCTTGTCACGTGACATGGCCTGTCTGCAGTGTGATTAAGCTTTTCTCGGTGTGGTGTTGGAGAAGAAATAAGAAAATGCATTTTTCAGGTATCTAACAGCTGTTTCAAGTATTTTAATTTTATCCAGAAAAAAAAAGGTCTAATGCACAAAACAAAAAAATCTACACCTGTGTTGTTGTCAACTAAAGTAAAACTAAAAAAGTTTGTCAATAATAATAAAATATAAATATTGATGAAAAACTTAGAAATGTTGCCTTAGCAACTAATTGAAAAGTACAAAAATTACAAAAACAAAAACTGAAATAAAAATGAATTATAGCTGAATATAAGTGTAAAAAAAGATTAAAAAAATAAAAGCACATAACAAAATGACACATGTATAACATGTAGGCTATAATGAAAGCTAACATGAGTTAGCTTAGCATTCAGCTAATATGAATGCTATAATATTACTAAAATCTAGTGTTTGTAACATCCAATTTTTAAGTGTACTGTATCTGTTTACATTCATTAATTACATGATAAATGTGACCGTTCAAAAGCAGCCACTTGTCATGTAGCCATTAGTAATGATTGATCCAAAACGCATCACGTTATAATGATGTATCATCTTCTAGAATCTAGATAATCAAAAGAGCATTTCGTTATTTCGTAGCAGTGGTAGTTACACTACCAGCCCAATCAGCTTGTGGTATGCAAATCCTTTCGGCTTACCGGTTAGCTTGTGAAGTGAACTAACTAAAAAAACATATAATAGGACCAGGAGCTTCTGATTTATAGAATATGGAATGTGGCTTATAATTTAAACAGACTGATCTCATGAAGTAGCGTGTGTATGACACGCCAATTCGTATTTCCATTTTTGGCGTGCTATCAAGACGCATAATCGCTTTTCAGCGTGTTTATGAACGCCGTTGACTTAACGTTATTACTGTATATATAAATATATGACTTACCTCAACCCCATCCCTAAACTTAACCGTCACTGGGGTTAATGACATTTATGACTGGACATTTGACGGCGTGTACAGAGACGTGGAATGACACGAACGTTAATGGCGTAGACATACACGTGGATACACGCGGGTAGCACAAAATGCCTAGAGATAACACCCCACTTGACTCGAAAGTGGCGTGTATGTTTACGCAAAAGTCATGATGTCAAGTCATGATCCATTCAATCTGTTTTATAAAAGCAACTTATTGTAAACAATTTATTTATGCAGGTTTGTTTTCTTTATAATTGATTTATAATAAATGCTTCTACATTCCATTATTAAACAAGAATTGGTCATGGTGACTTTAAATTTTACCTCAAGCTCGGATCTGGCTACAACCTGATTTCCACCCAATAACCCCCTACTCAGACGTATATCACAATATGGAAGAAATGATCTGTCACTACTTGCGTCACATCACTACTTAAAATAACTTGAAAACGAAACACCGGCAGAACATTTCAGATTGCAAGCGGCATGACGTCACTTTCAAGCTGGTCCTGTTATGAAGACTAAGCCTGGCATGAAGGGAAGACACACTTCGCTCGTGAGACTTTCTGCACACGCTCATCTTTCATCCTGCCCTCACATGCTCTGTATCTGGCCCGTAAGCATGTGACTACATGCAATATGTGCTGCTTTTTCGCGTCCTTATAAAACATAGGCTCCCGTGATTCCTTCTGTCGGGCGGTTTACGCATGATAGAGGTCAGTGTCTTTGCTGCCCAGACTCAAAGCTTCACCTCCATGCCAACATCTGCATGTTTTAGGGTCACTGGAGCAGGTCGGCATTATGCTAAGAGACTTTTCATGTTTCCAGAGCTTGAGTGTGGTTGTAATCTGCATCACATCTTCAAGTAAAGCAGAAGTGAAGTTAGTCAAATGTTCTTCTTCTCTGGTGTCTGGTTGTGGGGGATGGGGATGTTTCAGCAAGATCTTTCAGCAAGACGATGTCAGCATAGACAATTAAAGGGGTGGTATAATGCCCTTTTCACAAGATGTAAAATAAGAGTTTGTATGTGTATGTATAGTTTTGGCTCAAAATTCCCCACAGATATTTTTATATATCATGTTAAAATTGTCCCTTTAAATGCAAATGAGCTGCTGCTCCCGGCATAGGGGGCGGAGCTTCAACAGCTTGTGTCCTTTTACCTCACACACACATGCACTGAACATTTCAAAAGCCATTTATGTTCAAACTGGAGTCCGACTTTTATGTAGCTTATAGTTATCTTCTTGACATTGATTAGCATATTATGTCATGATGATCTATAAATCGTGTTTCTGGGGGCGGGGTTTATGTAAATTGTAGGGTTGGTGATGTCACTAACCCGGGAGGAAGCTTGTGTAGTCCCTACCAGTCGTTTGTTTTAGTCCTTAAAAAGCTATTTCTTGGACCTACGACCAAGAAACCTTGGGCGTTGTGACTTTGAAGATGTTGTTTACGTTCAAACAGCAACATTACACACTAAAGTTAGAAAAGTGAAATCATAATCAACCACTCCTTTAATTTAAATAAAAACAAAGTACGCTGTTATTCAATAGCAGCTGACTTCTAAGGCATCATTTATCCATCATGGAAGTGGAACCTCAAGTGAGAGTTGGTTTTTAGCATGTTGCTAAGCTAACGATCACATAATGAGCATACAAATGCACAGCACTCTAAAATCTTGGGTAAAGTAATCATTTTGTAAGTACATTTCATCAGGGGCAGAGCACTGATGGTGCAAGGACCATCATTTTTCACATTTTAATTAAATTTTTAAACCCATACACATACAAATAAATCCTAACTATGAGCTACAATTATGAGATCTGTGAAGCTGGCTATCTTACTAACTCATCTATTTTTGTTTTTCCTCCATAGATTGTGCGCTTTCAAAATGTGAGCCCAAAGGTGAAGTCTCCAATCAGAAAACAGGTACATAACTTCAAAAAGGCTGATAGTTTATGTACATGGTGTTTTCTTTCATCTGATTGGCCTCAAGTTTCATCAAAACATAAACTCATTGTCCCATTTACTTTCACCTGTGTTTTTCTGCTCGACGCATTTTGCTATGTTATTATTTTTTGCTGTCCTGTTTGAGGTTACTGCTCTCTGTTTGATGTTTTGACTGGAAAGGAAGCACTGCAAACATCATGTCTGCTGGATAAACATCAAACAGACAGAAAGAAAGTGTGTGACGTTGTGTGTACACAGACTGCCGATGAGTGGAATGGCGTGAGGATGGAGAACAGTTGTTACATCCTCAACTTGAACCCTGACACTGATCAGCAATTGGACCATTAGTATAAACTTTTGTCCTTGTCCGTAGTGCAGCGCAGTGAGAGCGGCTCTCCGGCCATGATCGGGAGCATGTGTTGTGTATGATACACATTCCTTACATCTCTGACGTGACTTGGAGTCAGGAAATCTCTGCTCCCAGAGCCACAGAAATGTTGACAGTTCACACTTGCGGGGTTAAAATGAACCACATGTGCGCAATAGGGAGGAATCTGCTAGTGTTTTCAGAGCGAGACATCCAGCAGTTCTGTCATGAACACTTTTATGGCCTGTGCTCGCTGTAAGAAAGGTTTTACTACCCTAAACTATGCTTCTCCAAATAACCAGTCCATATAGTACTATAAAAGTAATAGTATCCAGCGTCAGGGAAGTGAAACTGTAGCTCGGGAAGCTGCTCGTAATTTGAAGTAGCTCTGCTGGTCAAGTTACTCTTGATAAAGTAGTTAGTAAATGCCATATAGCATGTTATTTATCTTTTTAAATGAATGACTATCAGATGAAATAATGTATTATTACAATCAAAGCAGTGTTTCTGATCTATAATTACCATAAACAATGATTCATCCCAGGAACTTGAATCTTTTCAAATGTTATTTTACACTCAATTCAGCTAATAAAACCAGAAACATCATAGGCGGAGGGTGAACTAACGCAAGGGTAAGGCAAGATGTGCTTCAATCTACACATCCCATTATAAACGCTCCTGACAAATGATGTTGATGTTATAGCATCTACTAGGGGTGTGCAAAGCAGCCGGTATTTGTATCTGTATTTGTATTTGTTCATGGGGGAAAAGTATTTGTATTTGTATTCGAGTAAAATTCAAAATAGGCATAAAAATCTTTAATTTACTTTATAGTGTTTGGATTCTTTAATTATATCCATTATAATAATTATGGATATGCAATATTGGTTGATGTTTTTCTATAAATCCAGCAATGAACATGTAACAAGAAAAGTCATTGAAAAGAAAATAACAGTCAGCCATTTGGCTACCTCATGAACCATGGTTAAACCAACAACTAATGAAATAAAATTGTGAACATTATGAACCCCAACACCACGGTGGAGGACGCTGAACAGACAGAATAAGTAAGGGATAATGTATAGCGAGGAGATTGATTATGAGCCCGATGCGAAGCCCGAAGCCCAAATAAATCAATTATTTGACTCAAAATATGAATATAAAAAGAAGTTTATTGATTTAAAAAACGATTGTATCGCTTCCGCTAAAAAAGAAAAATAGTCCGTTCTGTCTCTACGTTTAGAATCCATGGCAACGCTCTGTTTTTCATGGCAACGGTGTGTTATACTTATTATAAGCAGCGGCCTGTTATAACAGACTGCATTCTACATTAGAATTCAACCAAGCCATATAAGAAACAAATAATTACCGTTACCGAGCTAACAGAGCTATACGTAAAAGCGAACATGAGAGCACCCTGCAGACGTCAATAATGGAATATACTCCCGATCAAACTCCGCTTCCCGAAAGTTATAAACTGCCTCCGGAACCTAGTTAAGGTGCAAACATCTATTCAACAAAAATAGTGATGCAGTTAAGTGTTTTTTCGCTCAGCCGAGCCCTCTCTGTTGCTGTGTGAAGCAGCATGTGTCAGTCACCTCTTCCTGAACGTCACTCACTCAACTCGCGCACTGCGGTCTCGTGAGGAACGCAGCTTTTTGATATAAAGTATTTCTTGTTCCCGAATACAAATATTTTTTTAATTATTTGTTCGGAATAAGTATTCGTAAAAAAAAACATTATTTGTGCCTTTCCGAATACCGTATTCGGATTCGGCTCCACCCCTAGCATCTACATTCTCAAACCACTCTAATTTGTACAGAGAGCAAGCATACTGTATGCGTGATTTATCATGGCAGCCAATTCGATTAATGACTAACCATTGCCTCAGAAAAACAAAAGTTTTATTTAAATTCTGAATTTAAAAAGCGCACAAAGAGCGCTCCCTTTATAATTGGAATGGAATGGAATGGACTGCATTTATATAGCGCTTTTATAGACCAAATGGCAACCAAAGCGCTTTACATCTTGCCTCACATTCACCCATTCACACACTCATTCATACACCGACGGCGGTGTCAGCCATACAAGGCGCCATCCAGCTCGTCGGGAGCAGCTGTCTTGCTCATGGACACCTCGACACTTGGTCAGGTGGAACCCGGGATTGAACCACCAACCTTTCGGTTTGTAGACAAACTACATGAACCACTGAGCCACTGCCGCCCCCGAATTACTAAAAAGCGTTCACTCATAATCATTAAAGTGTTCCGCTATAATCAATGAAGCTGACTGTATGTACAGTCGATCTTTTATTTAGCCTACATAATATCATAAAGTTAACTTATAACAATAGGATTTGTGAGCGTGCAGAACTCATCGCTTGTCAAAAATGCCAAAAAAGTGGATTCTAACTTGGGTCCTGGTATTAAGATGTGTTTTGGTCATTTAGTCCAGGTGTAAACACATCTGATTGGCCGTTGAGTTCAAGAAATCAACAGATATGTTTTTGATTGGCTAAGTTGTAAATATAAACCTTTGACACTCTCAGAAATTCTCATAAGTAGGGCTGTGAAACGATTAATCACGATTAATCGTGATTAATCGCATCCAAAATAAAAGTTTGTTTATATAATGTGTGTAGTGTGTATAGTTATTTTGTATATGTAACAACACACACATGCATGTATATATTTAAGAAATATTTGCATGTATATACTTTATATATATTTATACAAAATTAATATTATACATAAATATAAATATATGATATATTAATAACACATTTTTCTCAAATATATACATGCATATGTATGTATTTATATAGACAAAATAATTATACACACTACACGCACATATATATTATGTAAAAAAAAAAACTTTTATTTTGGATGTGATTAGTCGCGATTAATCGTTTCACAGCTCTACTCATAAGCCCAAACACCAGATCTGTGTTTGTCTAATTATGTCTCTATAACAAGGGCTCAGATATATTGGTGAATTGTTTTTGAACCGGTTCTTTTTAAATGGACTGTTGAAGTAGATAAAGGAGCGTTCACTCATCTCTAACTCTGCGTGAACAATGCAATATGACAAATCTGCAATTTAGGGGTTTTGTCACGCACTCTACAACACTATTTGTTTGCAAAAAGTAGCTTGTTACTGGAAACGTTGCATTTATTTTGAAGAGCATTTATGGATAATGTTAGGAAAATATGAAGAACCTGTTGCTATAAAGAAACCAGTGATTGATATCATAAAAACAGGATCTTTTTTAGACCTCATGAGATGGTGTCTTTTTGCTAGGACTGTGACAACACAGCTGAGAGTTTGATGTGAACGTTAATATATAATGTAACGTCATGCATAATTCACCCACCATCTGTTGCATTATTTCTTGCTGAGGATTTTTTTTGTTGCATTCTTAATAAAATGCTTTTTTTGTGAATAGTTTCTCAGCTCAAACATGCAAATCGCATCTAAAAAACACCTGTGTTTGTGCCTTTGGCTATGTTCGGAATTGAACACCAAGTTATGTGAAGCAGTATGCAATGTCAGTACAAATATCTCAGCTTCATTGTCACATGACCTTGCTTTCATTCTGGAAGTAGTTTCCAGTCATTGTCTCTCTAGTCAATAAGGTAATTTGCTTTTTAATTGAGTGTAACAATGTTTAATCAAATACTGAGTTTATTTAAAAAGAAGTTTATTCGTTGTACTGAAAATATGACCTTTTAGTGTACCGCACAATCCTGTATTTCATTTATACCGAAAATTGGCATACTTGCACACAGTATACTTACTACAGATGTTGATATGAACATAATCGTTGTGTTTTAGTGATTTGTGGGCAAATATATCTGTGTTTTGATGGAATGGAGAACCACCTAATTGTTTACACACTGTTCATACTTGTTTTGAATAATGAAGGTTCCATGTTTGATGATTGGCTGCTGCTGAGCTGTGCTTGCTGCTGATTGGCTGATGGAGCACCTGTCTGTCTGATTATTGGCTTAAACAGCACAACTCAGCTGCTGTAATTTTTCACATTCTCACCTCTCGGTGTCAACCAGTTTCCGAACATGAGCCCCCAGCAGGAAGCATTTATGACTCTGTGCCAAAGAATAACTGCTGTCTCTGAATATTTCATCCAAAATGGCTTCCATTAAGAGACTGGGCCACTTGCATCTCTTGTTGATAGAATTTTCCTGCAGTACAGAGTACATTTTCAGACAAGACCATATCAGTTCAGCCATTTTACTGTTATAAATGGAGTATTTATGGTACAATACAGGCTACACATTCTCTTACAAACATCCTGACACTGAAAAGTCGCTTGGGTCGTGCAGCTGTGCTTTCTATCAATAGACATCATGACCCACCCCATCAAAGACTCTTTTGCCCCACTCTGTACCCACAAAGCACATGACCAACAGATACATAAACATGTGCTCAGACGTCACAGTCACAGGAGATCACTGTCCAAACAAGATAGGCTGAGATCTGAGTGTTAAAGTGCTCTGATGAGTCTGAACACAGACCTGAATCTCCACAACTTTCACCAAAATAACAATTATTTTTTACATTTTTTTTTACACCGTACCAACAGCGGTGA